TATGATTAGTACGCAGCCAAACGGACAAAAAATGCACTATCTGGTAGGCAAGTGCGGTGACCTATTGTTTTCATAGAATTGGGAGACTAGATGAAGCAAAAATATTTTAATGCACAGCAACTGTTAGTGGGAATTCTAAGATCAGCATTGCTGGAATTAGCAGCAGCATTTTTGAGAGTTACTAAATCGAATGACAGGGTAGTCGGCTGTCCCCTTTTTTGAAATCCAGGCCCAATTTTGTCAACGTTAGGATTGGATAGGACTGTATCACTTTTCGGCACTAAAAAGTGACAAAATTGTGATTATTTCTTCAAGAATATTTGAATACATGGTTTCCAACAAATCAATGAGTCTAATAACAGTCCGTACCGCCTTAGCGCCATTTCAGACACAGAAGACTTGGAGAGACGCGAGACACTGTGAACGAGATAGACAGCCTCAACAACAAAATACATAAACTGATATAAATGGCCTGCCAGTCGTATTGGTGACCTATGTGATTGTCCAAACCAGTGGCTAGGGCAAATAATTAAACATTTTTGATGCTTAAAATGAAATCAAAATACCGAAGAAGTGCGAAGCTTATTTTCATAATGGGATGAACTTTTAGTATCAACTCATAATCCAGGTATGGTGACATGAGAACATTTTTCGTCTAGAAAAACTATTTGATTAAAAAACCAAGGCCATATATCCATTAGAACAACCCGGTTTCATTAGTACACATCAAACCTCTCAGATTGCTAAACGGCCTCTTTACAGTCATCGTCGGTCCAGACAACATTTTGTCAGTGATAATTACAGGCGCTAAGAACCATAAAGGGACCTAAAATTAATACCTTGAAGGATGTCTGATTCGACACTCCGTCTGTAATCTTCAAATGAACCATCTTATGTGATGATTTCGGAAAACTTTGAAACAACTTGCTGAGTGTTTTTGAGCAGTTTGTTCGCAGATATGAGTACTGGGAAGTGTTTACGATATTATGGATCCAGAATGAGCTTCCATGGAAGAAGAAGCACAACTTCCTTTGGGCAGAATGTCCATTACTTGATTTTCTAGCAACGGATTTATCCCTCCTAAGCTGTATTATACTTTTAGTGAAAACGATGAAGATTTGTAGACCGATACAGGTGTACACCCTACTCTGATCCGTAAGTTCACAATATCAGCCGTCTTACGTTTTATGCACTTTTTGGCAGGCCTGTTGTGCTGAATGCTGACTGTGACTCTTACAGTCTTCTTTTGACTGCATGTTGGGTGTTCGGTCCAAGTAGAAATAGTCTGGCGTATATTGGAAATTTTTCAGGGAGCATAACTGGGCTTCAAATGGTTTCTTCATGGTATCCTTGGACAACCGTGCTGAAAAACTTCATCCACCTTTATTCGTACACCGTCATCTAAGGCAGACGTCAACGCACTTATGGCTCCTCAGTTAGTGAAACCTTCGTCCATTCTCGTTGTACGCTGATATTTTTTTGTGAGTACCATCAAATCAATGTGGGAAAAAATAGTAGGCTCATCTAGGCTTATTTGCTATCTCAAATGTGTGTAGTCGTGATACTACTGATCCTCGCCCCCTTGTCTTAGAAACAATGGACTCGTTCCCAGCTTCAACTACAACACTTTGTCATCATCTTGTCACTCTCACCCGACGGCGCCGAGCCCCATAGGATTCGAACTTCCCGGCTCCCTCGTTGTCTTTTTGTTCAGACATCCTTCAAAGCTATTATAGTCATGTGTATGCATAATAAGCCTGAGCACATTTGTAGCTATTCCGTGTGTGGACGTCGCTAAATTACGAACTCCTTTTGTGCACTGGCAGGATAGCATTAGTCACTTGCACGCACACCTCAGGTTTCGAAAACTCACAGTCACTTGCACGCACACCTCAGGTTTCGGAAAACTCACACAAACGATAATAACATGAGACGAATATTGATGAACGCAAATTTGTGGGGGCCAAATTTAAATTTACCCTCCATAGATTAATCGAACCATAAAGTATGATCATTATTTCTTCGGATCATACTCCAATTCCTAATTTAGTCAGCCACTTTGGTTGACGAAGCGGATCTGTGTGTGAAGCGTAACTCTGGTTAAAAACTTCTTTTTGCATCATTCTACTGTCAGGGCGTCGTCTTACTTGTTGGATGATATAAACCAGTTCAGGGGCCTGTTGGTGGACGCGGAGCCAAAGCCGATTAATCGAATTTTAGAAAACCCATGTTTAAAGTATGTTGGGTTGCGCGGAACCGGTGATTTCGAAGGTTACATTTACGCAAAAATAATCTGCTGTGTGGTCGCACCGGGTGTGGATCAAACTGGGCATTTGGTAAGTCTTGCAAAAAATTCTTTTTCGTGTACTATTCTAGGCTACTTTGGTCATGCTGAACAGGGACGTTTGAACAAAGAAGCGGTAGAAGCAGTCCGCCGTGAGTGTGAAAAGTACGCGTGTCCATATACTCCAAAGGCTTGAATTCTGTTACTCTTATAATCTTCTCCTACTGCACCATTCTCCTTGATGCTCACTAGGCATTTCTGACGTCATGGACTCAAGAGTGTTCACCCTGTTGAATCAGTAACTGATACAGTTGTTTTCCTTATTACCTAATAACGCAAAAGTGGCGCATTGCTTCCAACTTTGACCTTAAGAATTTCTCCTCAATGCCACACATAACAATGAAACCGTGAGGAGGTTAGGTTTTTATTTAAATACGACTGATGTGTTACAAAACAGGGCGAAATTCTGTACCACCTTATTTGTTAATTTGCCGATGGGCTGTCCTTTGATTATTCAGACGGGATACCCCAGAAACTGGCGTTAAATAAATAGTATTTACCGAAATCTATTTGTTTCAACTTCAGACTATCACCAATGAGAGATAGTGTAGCTATGGTGTTACGAAAAGTTAGGCTGTACGGTAGCCATTAAAGTGTTATCGTCGTACCACAGTTTGGTATTCAACTGACTGAACTTTCAGCAGTCGGATGACACCATGGCCCAAAAAGTTGTTCACTGCATGCATTGTGTGGTTCAGTGCACTGTTTCTTCTAGTCGGTCACGGCCATTTTTTACTTTCTGCAGCCTTGTGGCCGGAACTAGCTAAAGGAAGAAGAATCTGCAAGCAACTTGAAGTGGTTACACTAGTTCATTCATCAGATTTACACGGACATTTGCTGCAGCACTGTTTTAGTCCTATCAACCGTGCACCACGCAGTGGTATAAAAATTTATCGCCATTATTCTTGTCTGTATCAGAATAATTGATTGGTTAGAGTCCCAAAGCGTGAAAATCAGTGAACGGATATTGTGACTGACCGAACATTGTGACTAACCGTACCAGCGTTATCATGGTGACATACTCATACTACTGCTGGTCGGTCAGCATATAACACTCAGGTTGCTCCAGTTTCAGTCATCTAAGATTCCCCACTGTTATATCTCAACAGCAGGAACGATGGAACGGGTACAATAAACTCATAAGCCCTAAGCATAGAGTCGAATAGGACCACCAGAAGATGTATCATATCCATTTCATTAGTTAGATTGAGTGGATAGCTTTTTACCGTTGGACAACAGTAAAAGCTACATAGATTCAGTGGATTGGTGGACGCCTCAGAACCAGGAGATAACCAACCAGTCAGTCAGTTGCAGGTCGAGCGGATGGAAGGGACACGCTGCTATGGATCGTTATTTCACGTGTGCCTGTTCAATCTGTAATCCAAACACCTTACTACGGTGTGCGTATATGAAGAACTTTGTGTTGTGATGTTTACCTGTATACATACCTGTGTACCCATAGGTGTGTAGTTGAAGCCAGCCTGAAGTTACTTTGTTTTTGACAATCTGACTTGATCAAATCTATCATCGATGATCGCGAGAACTTAGGAATAACTCAGACTGTTCACCGTTGGTCAGATTTCTAAGAAAAGATTGTCACACATGCCGAACTGTGCAGAACGGTGTAACTTCATCAACAGGATGTGCACCGGTGGGTTCGATGGCCTTTTTGACTCGGACTAACAGCAGGAAATTCGAATCTGAACCTCGGCAGCTGAATCCCGCTACCGCTACCTGATAATTCCAAACATAGACGAAAACCATATTGAATGGTCTTTTAAGACCGGTCCATTGTGAATCAGATGACTTTTGATTAGATACGGATTCTTCGTCCAACGTCCTGGTTTCTATTCATGGTGAGAAATTAAACGCCCCCTGAGCTTCAGCAATCAGTTCTGTCAGCTGCTTCCTAATCTAGTTCTGTTTCCCCCAGCCTTTTGTTTGGTTTGTAGTTTCGTTTCATTACCTCTTGTCATACTTTCAGGTCTCTTTCCTGAGGCAGTGAGAGCTGTTTTTTCATCAGGCATCTACTTCATAGATAGTGCTTCCGGTGCAAAGCGACGTTAAGATACCCGTGTTTGGGTTACTGACAATTAGACCAAGCTGTCATTGAGCGAATGAACTGCAAAATAAATTTAGAATACGCAGATGAATCCAAATGACCTAAATTAGGACCGGGACCGCGAATATGGCTACCCAGGTCCCAGCATTCAGGAATCATCACCACCATCGTGATTGACAGCGGTCCTGAAACACCTGTACTCCACTGCTGTACGAAAATGCCTGTGTAATTGTGGAATACCTCCCGAAGCTCAACCGATATGACCTTCTGGAGCCACTTCCTTCCATGCAGCAACTTTCGTCAGCATCTTTGCTGCTCATATAACGGTGAGCATTTAGGAGATTCGCGAAACTGGAGCAGTTGCTTTTACTGTTTTTATGATATATACATGTACGGGCTAATTCATATATCATAGGTATACCAAGGGTGTGTTTTTCGTACTTTTTTTCGATTAAAAGTTTTACGACCTTAATATTTTTCACAGACTGGCAAGTCTCAAACATACCACGAAATTCCCAGCATTCTTGCTACTGATCGAGATGAACCTGATTAGCAGTTAATGCTGAATTCCGGTGTTATATCTTTTCCAAACAGGTTAGATTACTGTATTGGCCTTTGCCTAGTACATAGTCTGGCAGGTGGAACTGGGTCCGGGTTGGGTCTACGGCTTGCCGAAGATGCTGTAGAAGAATTGGATCTTTGTCTACGTCTTACTTTCAGTGTTACTCCGCATCGTTACGGTGACGCACCGCTTCAGTCCTACAACAGTCTGCTAACTCTTGGTCGGTTGACGCAGTAAGTGCTTTTATTTCGCAATTTTGGTTTTCCTCCCTTCTTGATCATGGCGCGTAGCAGAGCAGATGGGCACTCGCTGTTCCACCAAATTCCGAGGTGGCAAAAGTAATCCCACTCCAGCCGCGAGATCTATCAGTCACCAAACACCTTGACATTATCGTACGTTGTTTATCCTATGAGTAATTTTGTTTGCTCAACATGTCACTCGTGTCAGCTACTACCCTTGTACCAAAACGACTTAATTAACTGTTTATTACCTCCTCGATGACCACACCGTGACTAATCACCTCATCCTGCGGCGCACGATGCTTGCCTTGAAGACCAATAAATCACCTATGTGCCATAGTGTCATGAAGTTTTGTGTACTTTCATTGAATACGCACCTAATTCACCGACTTCTCGGGGAGGAAAATACTCTCAAACGTAATTCACTTTTTACTGGAGTTCTGATTATGAAACTCAACCAGACCGAGATAAACAGCAACTTGAAGCACACGACGATAATCAAGCGATAGTTGTATTTTTTTCTTACATAGGACGTAATTCTCAGAGATCAGCAGTAGAACTCTCAGAATTCCAAATATAAGGCAGGGGTATCGTCACAATCCCAAAAACGGTTGGATTTTATGTTGTCGGTGTAGTTCATCAGACAGAGTTCGTAAAGTGTTGGCTACATTTCCAGCTTGTTCGTCATTGACACAATCAACAACTTTTCCCACATGACTGCTCCTTGTGGCCCATAACTTTGGGACTGCCAGAGTCACCATTCTGAACTCACGATTCATGGGCCAAAGGAGCTTGGTAGAGGCGGTACATGACGATGAGTTGTTTGTGTGTGTGTGTGTTATCGAGACAAGTCGTTGGCTGCCTTGAATATCTTGCAACAGAGCATCAGTTTAGGTGTATTTGATTCAAGTTACTTCCCATGAAAATGTATTTAACATGTCTGAACAAAACCATTTCACCACTCGGATGTTGCATGAAATTTCATACTATTTACTACTAATAGGCATCAACGAATCGGAGGCTTTCAAATGAAATGATTAAAGCCCGAATTTTAAAACTTAAAATCGAACAAAAAGTGCTCTCGGGTTTTCTGATGTTCAGCTATAGAATGACGGACTGTGTAGGGTAGAGCACCATTACAATCAGTGCTACTGGAATGATCTGCTCATTAGAAGGTCCGAAGGTTCTACTGAGTGCTGCTTTCGTTGTCCAGGGGATGTTCACCTTCAGCAAATAGTGAACCCATTCTGAATTTCCTAACCCAGCTGAAGAGGCCCGTTTATCCTTCGGCACTTTAATGCTATGTTATCATGGTGATGACTCCCTCTGTAAATACAGGATGTGCAATAAATAGACATAGGTCAGCTGCAGACGGATTCGAATTTGCGGTACCAACGTGCAACCAATAGCACTTGTCGGTCTGACAGACACAAAGCCACCCGTTTCTCGCAAAAAGTAGTTTATGAACTACTTTCCAAATGCTGCTGAGTCACGACAGAGGGTATAGAAGAATTCGACTGTTATGCAAATCATTGTGATCTGACGGTATTGCGTTCAGACGGGTGCTATTCATGGTGAAATCAATTTAACTCATGTCAACCGGATGCCGATTTTCTAATAATTCAAGAGGGGCAAATCATCAAAACCTGTTTTTATGGCTGAAAGTGCGGTTTCACATGAACTTGGAGAAATTGGCCTTTATGTTCAGGAATATATCGATTTGCAGCCAGCTCAGCCACACTTGTTACGAAGTACTTATTATTACTTCCATATTTCTTAAAGACGCGTCACCTGGACTCTTACTGGGAATGGAACACTTTCATGACGGAACACACTACTTACAAGGATACCGAAAGCTCCTCAATTTTATTGTTTTGAGGCTCCTGTCTTAAAAATAAATACACCAACTGTACAGAGCGGTGGGCGGACGCGTGTTCCAGTGGTAACAGCCTGAGATTCTCAGTCGACAGATCTTTTTACGTTCAACTGATGAATCATTACTGGCGTCATCATCATAATTGTCAGCTGTAAGAACCGCATACTCGTCGTACAGTGGTTATAGCTGCCGCAGTTGCGTTCACCGATGATTGTTTTTGGAGGGGGTAGGGAGCTGCGCATTGGAGACGGGAGATGATAAATTGGTGCATAAATCCAGCGTTTTCAGTGGGCTGTCAAGTGGGGGGATTGGGAAGGGAACTATGCATTGAAGGCAATAGCTTGGATGCATGGGTGCCATCGAGGGCGCGACTGGACCATGTCTGACACTTTTTCATTACTGACAAAAATGCTCGTGTAGCTGAACTCTTCTGTATCCGACGATACCCGCACTTTAGTGCGATCATCAACGGAAGAAGACTGTGTAGATGCTGAATAAAACCGAAGTTGCCGGAGATGAACTATATACCATACAAGCAATAATAGAAGAATGATCAATACTCGCTGTCATCTGTTGCCTATCCTCTTCCGAACTCGAAGAACGCACGAGATCCTTATTTGGGACTCACTATACAGGCTTAGTCCCAATCACACCGACTGATTAAAGAAAACCCATAATTTATCAATGATGAATTTCTCCTTCCTCTTCTCACCCTTGATTGACCTTAGTTCTGGTCTTTCAAAAACGACATATAATGAGCACATTCACATTATGACGGGCTTTCCGATACAGTAAACTATTTCCGGTCCCTGAGAATTCGTTACAGCCAAGTACCACTGTACATAAATGCCTGCAGCATACATTTTTGTCTGAAAATCTAGAGTATCTTTCATATGGAAGGGTTACTGAATAGTTTCGGCATTATCTAGCCCCTTGTCTTCCCCTCCATCCCTGTGTACGTCACTGACTCAAATGATCTTTAGAACGTTGTGTGACATGTATTTTACTTCCACTTCAGACTTAGTGAAAGTGTTGTTCTGTTGCAAAATGATTGGCTACTAACTCAGCTTAACTGTCGACTTCCAAGAAACCGGGTGGCATCATCACTTCCAACAACTGACTCATCTGTGATGGCTCAAACGGGTATCACGGTTGACGAAATGAATCGCCTTGCTGCTGAGCAAATGATGAACTTACTGGCTCCATGTGATGAGTTAGCTAGCGATGGCAACACTGTCCAGGCCGATGGTGTCCGGTCGGTCCATGCAGAGCCGTTGGCGCTGAGTCACTCACTGACTGCATTATCAGAAGCCCGTTTTATTCGTATAATCTCCGAAAGCGCGCAATCGCTTAATTTCAAAAAATCAAGTAGGTAAGTCAAGGCCATAAAAAATATCGTAGCTGTTTTTCCTTTAGAGCGAATGAATACAGCTTGCATCTCTACTAGTAAAAGTCCTGTATGGGGTGGAAATCAGGATATTTTCAGTTCTGTAGACCAATGAGCTAACCCGTTAGAATTCACACGAGACGATCCCTGAGTATCCGTCACTCAGGGGCCCATCAACACCAAATCACGTAACAATATGTTGCAGATAATGGTCAGCTGATCAGACATTCGCAGCCCGGAGGCTACAAGTTTCAGAATCCTTCTTCTTCTCGACAAGCATGAAGCAGCTTCTTAGTCCTTCCTGGTTTTGATCTTAGGTCGACCTCACCCTATAGGGCAAAATCAAGGGTGAGAAATTCAAAAACACTTCTTCGCTCACAGAACAAGGCTGAGGCTAACTCCCTCTCATTAATCAACTGTGTTTAAAGCATTTCGAAAACTCATTATGATTTAGAATACCACTTCCCGGGGCATTAGAATGCTGAGATTTGTCAGTATCTCTATGTTACTGGACGTCGCCAAACGTTGAAACAAATTGCGAGATTTTTCATCCACAGACTTCGTGACGTCTATAGTTCAGCCTGACTCAAGTCAGTTGCTTAATTCGAGGAAGAATTCGTGTCAAGTGTACTCCTCTTGCCATCCTAACGGTTTCCTGTCATCTCTAGCGTGGCATCTGAACAAAATAGTACCCATGCTTGTGATACTCATACCAACCAACTGTATGTTTTTTAAGCATACTTAGCTAGATGCACGTACTAAACATTCACCATATTTTTTTTCATGGTTGTGGTGAGCGGAATGGTACGGACTGGGATCACTTGGAGCACCTGCTTCCAACTAAACTTCGTTGCTGCCCAATCGATGCTACGTGGAATCTGGAAAAACCTGGGCAACGAACCGGTTGCAGGCCACTCGGAACTCTAGCGGCTCTGCTTGTATATCGGGGCAGACTGACAGGTCTTACAAATTCCAGAACGCGTGATTCAGACGACGGGGTACCCAAGGAGAGTGCCCGGACTGGACAACCCACTGCGTCATCCTTGCAACGGCTGCATGATTACATGAGGCCAGTACGATGGAACTCGTCTCCATTTGATCATTGGTACGGTACGTGTGTACAGAATAAAGAGCAATTTCAAAAATTCATAAGAAAGTGCTGATTTACGCAATATTCCATAGCGAGTCTTAGAGAAACCTATAGAGACATTTCCATCACTTTTACAACACATGGTAATGCTTCTCGTTCATTTTCAATGCAATACTTCCTTTAAGAAAGAGTTTATTGAGTGTGAGTGAGTTAAATGAATCTTACGAGATCCCAAAACTTTATTGTCGAAAACTTAAAGAAGCCCCTTTCACTATCAGGTTGAAGGGTATTTGATAATAACAGCAGAAAATATTGAGGAAACAAAATGGCTAGTAAATGTTTCAAAACAGCAAGAAGCGCCAATGAACTAACTGTTCATGGTTTGCTCTGCTGGTCAGGCTAAATCGTATAGGTTTCCTCCAGATGTGCATCAAAGAGGCATTGTTCCTTCGGAAGGGTAATATTCGAATCGTTTCTCATAACTTTCTTCATTTCTACAGAGTCGCGTCCCACAGCAATGGAAAACTCGGTTACCTTAGCTTTTAATTCCTACTGCATAACCGAGGACTTGAATTGTTTGCTTTACCGTGCACAGATGCGGCGAAACATGAAAGCCTATTTGCATTGGTACGAAAAGTTTGGATGCACACAGGTGAGTTTAATATGTCCCACCTGATCTTATAGCTTCATAGACTGAGGAATTCCGGTCTTCATAGATACAGAACCTTCTGGATTTTTATAGATGTTCAAGGATAACTGAACATACCGCTTTGTCGAACAACCGCAATTTAATGCGGCCTAGATAACAGAGAGTTGGGGGCACTTCAAAGTGGATTATAATACCAACAAAAATGCCACCTACTATGATATCACGTGAAAAATAAACCACACCATAGTCACATACCCTAACAAGTGTTCATATATTGTTTTTTCTCGGCTAACCACCACCAGGTGATACAGACACACCGTAAAACTAGAAGCTCTATCCTAAATTTCCACTAAATTGAAATAAGTTCAACCATCACCGTCTCTCCACTCTCAAGAATTAGCCAGCCGCCTTTCATTCATTTAGAATTTCAGCATCGGTTTGGAAAGTGGATTGAACAGAGTCAGCAGAATTCCTGCTCATGAATGCCATTAACACGTAATTTCAGCACATACAGTGGTCGCCTCTCTGACCCATCTAACCAAGCAAACAAATCAGTAGTTTGTGGACATTAAACCCAAAAGCAAAGTTACTAATCGATTCGATCAAACCAGTCAACAGAAGACGGTTGTTCACTAACGGCAGTCTCTACGAAATGACCACATCAGTCCAAAAAGATTAACTCAACGAAGCCTTATTTTTAAGTATCCGGCCACTGTGCTGATGATCAGGCTTCGTTCTCTTTTCAGGACACCTTTGATGCTGCCGTTGAACAATTGCGAGATGTTGTTCGAGGTTACGAAGAATTGGCTCGTTGAAATCTAGCATTATGTGTACGATCTGCCAAAAGAAAGTAAATGAAAAGCTAACTTGCTTTTTACCAATTAACTAAGCTGTTGGGAATCATAATCCAGCTGACTGGTGCTCTTCCTGTTACATCGTAAAAAAACCGGGGCCACCAATGTCATCCGATGTAGATAAACACTCCGAGCCGCTCGTCAAGCCAGAAAATTTACCTACAATCAACATGTTCAGGATAAGCTGGTTTGTCTCGAGTTTTCCACGCTTCTGAACGATCTTCCCTCCCAGCATTGTGTTCAGCCCTAGTCAACTAGATATTCACAAATACAATACGAATACGCATCTAAACTGCGTATTCGCGCGCAATGTGTCCACAGACTTTTTCTGTCGATACTTCAGGTCTAACAGAGGATCACGGTATTACGACCACCATATTGATCTTGGGTTAAAACAGGGCGTCATAAATGCTTCCTATTGTGTCTATTGTATCTAAAATACTCTCCCCTCTCTAAAGGTCATCCCTCTCCATGCCGACTACTCCTACAGTGACCAACCAGTGTGATTTATCATCTGACTGTCTGACCTGGTTTCCGTCCTCATATTTGGCAGTCAGATCCTCGACGGATATACAAAAGGATGCTTTGTACAAACAAAAAGGTAACTGATCTGAAATTCCGGAATCTTGCGTCAACCACACACGATAGATGCAGTTGTGTCAACCCATGTTCCGAGTGTAGTGTCATCAACCCGCGCACTCAACCTGCACCACAATGTAAGTTCGAGGCTGTACGCCGCCGAGCAGGCTCATAAGACACAACGCCAGCCAAAATGGTTCTCGGGTGGTGTTGATGCGTGCCCATTCATGTAGGTCAGCGCAGTTGAAATCGGACCAACATCGATATGTGACGATGTGTTGACATACTGACTGGTTCAGAATGTAGTATATTCAGCAGTTCCAGCTAGTTTGTTTGGCGATCCAGTAATGCCGACTTAGAAATTACTTGAGGGCTTGGTTGTTCGAAAGAGTTGTTATACCTAACTGGCAACCTCAAAGCAACTAAATTGCAATAGAGTGAGCCGAAGCGAAGTGGAACGTCGGGACTGTCAATGCAATTTCAGTAAGTGGAGGGTTTCAAATTAATGCCAACGCATCTAAAGTGGCATGTACTCTTCCTTCTATTGGCGGTTTATGAGTGCACTCCACTGCACAAAATGTGAGTGGAGTGAATGCCCATTCAATTGGACAGTCCGAGAGACCACGTTTAGTTTCGCTGTTTTCTCCTCACCACTAAAACTATGACCGAGAACAGTACGACTGCACAGCTCCTCTCAGCAGTTCGTTTCCAAGTATTATAACGGTTTTTACCGCCTAAGACGTCTGTTGTGTCAGGTTTCCAAACTGATCTGTCCCAGTGATGGTACAGGTAAAACTGAAGATGACCGAAGAATTATTTGTGCACCGCCCACTGCTAAGTTCATTTTGGTTGATGCGGTGCACTGCATATTTATTAACCGGGAAGCGATACAACCCCCAACCATCATGCCGTTTCACTGGTGTGTTTTCTTCACTTGTTCGGACGATCAATCGAGGCCTTTTCTCATATGGGCAAAAGCAGATGCCTTTTGTGCTACTGAGAGCTAGACATACACTTCCGGAATACACCGCATGTGGTAGAATATAACGCTCAGCAGTTTGCCATTGGTTAGTGCCGGATATCCTATGGATCAAGAACAAGAAAGCCTCAGAAGATGTTTCATTACAATTGGTAATTTAGTTAGCCAGTAAACAATTAATAGTTGAACTGAAACGAGAAACTGATTTGTCAACACAGGTTAAGGATGTCCGGGATGACCTGACCACGCTATCAAAGGAACTGAAAATTAAGCACGAAACAACTGGGGATAATTTGTTCAGAATTGGATAACGGACGTGCTTGGAAAGATAACGCATCGTGTTCTCACTCAAACAGCAGAAAAATCTGTCCGGAGACAGACAGTTGGCCAACGTGGAACCCTACAGAGAAATCATCTTGCCCAGGGAGATCATCTTCACTATTTGACACAGGATAGGTGCACCATACGTCATAGGTACACTCAGTCAGGTCTACGCACGTATAACTGGTTAAGTTGAGGTCCTAACCATTCGCGGTCCTTGCCAATTGTACTCGGTTGCTCATTAGTATCTGCTGAACACGAAATAGCGCCCTCGCCACGCATGTACGATAACCCACAGTGTAGCTGACCATCGTTACGAAGAGTCCACCATCACGGCACCATCAATCGAGGACCTGATCCCGGTGTTGTCCAAAAACACCGTTTACCTGATCACCTGCGTAAGATCTTATCAGTATCCTCCTCGTACGCACCGAAAATTGGGTGCAAGTTTTCATTCATTCAATGGTGGTCACTACTGATGAGTTTTACGGTTGTCACAGCCAGCCTCTTCGTGGCTGGTAGCTCATTATCAGTCCATCACAATCTGTCTACACCTTGTGTTCCACTAACCAGATTAACCTATAGTCAATCCTTATTCCACCCAATCACGAAGACCACATGACCGAAGTTCCCTCGGTAGTGCGTGGCCATCTGACCACAAGTTGCCGAAAATTTATGCTTGATTCGCTCTTTTCGCACAACCGCGTGAAGGGTGGAAGAGAGCCAGAGGCGGTCAAACAATGACTTGGCAGCGAAGTATAAAAGCCATTACTAGCAAACTCAGCTGCGCTGGACATTGCCGTCTTCTTGGATGAGGACTCCGAAACGGGCCAAAACAATGGTTAGAGACATTGTCAGACATGGCCCATTCGCGCCCTCAATGGCGCTCATGCATCCAAGCTGTTGCCTTCAATGCATAGCTCCCCTCCCAATTCTCCCACTTAACAGTCTACTGAAAGTGCTGTATTTACGCACTAATTTGTCAGCTCCCGCCTCCAATGCGCAGCTATCTACCCCACGTTCCCAAATCATCGGTGAACGAAACTGGGGCAGCTATAACCACTGTACGACAAGTACGCGGTTATCACGGCCGACAATGATGATGATGCGCTATAAAGCATCGCTTAGGGCCATGTACCACCAACCACCGGCGTCAAAATTTTTACTGGGAAAGAATTTAAGACTTGGGGTATACAGACGATATCGAGCTCCCTGGTTCGGGTTCATTCGGAGGCGAAATACACTAACTAATCCTAAGAAGTTTCTGGCCTGTTCTGGATCATGAGTTGGCAGAAGTGGTTGCAGGCTAGACAGGGCGAAAGGTGTCTTGAAGGGGGTGAATTAGCCTATTTAAGTATATACACATGGTTACAGGACTATTACAAAGGGATATGGAGAATGCGGCTATGTCTCACAAACAAGGGGCAGATAGCTGACCCAAAAATAGGATTGGAATGGCCGAAGGTCCGTTTACTTCATATTTCCTGTTACCTTACGCCAGCCTGGAAAACTCAGATGCGATGAATCGAAAAGCCAGAAAGCACTGAAGTAAAGTACACATTTAAAGACAAACATTGAAAATCTGACCTGTACAACAGAGGGGTTAACATTCATTGACTTGTAAGCGACTAGGGTTTGTCAAACCGCACAATCAGTCCATTGTCTCCAACACATACGAGGGTTTTTCCATCGTTCGCAAAGCGGGTCTGGCGTATGGCACTGTGGCTTATCGGAATGCCACTGTTACCCGTACCAGACAAGGAAGGAATGTACAAAACTTGTGCTGGTAGGTTCAACGCGGCCTCCGGACATTTTAAATCCCACAGGTATATACGAGCAGGCCCCGTTCCGGTGCCTAAAGCAAGGACTTGATTTGCCAAGTCCACGTCAAAACGAATGTACCACAGATTGCAATCTGGAGCCTTCAGCTGGTGAATAATGCTTATTTTGTGCTCCGTTGGGACACCAGGCATGGGGTTGGCAGCAGGTTCGGATGAAACAGTAGTGCCGATAGGTTGCAAACGACTGGGTAAACGAACGCCATCAACCTCAGTGGTGGTAGTATTCGGAGAAGCTGATGTTGTTAACGAGGGGGAAGAGACGTGTGAGGTTTCATCCATGGGGCCAGGTTTCCATAAAGTTACACTATTTTCACAAGATTTGGAAATGACGAGGGAGCCAAACCACCGAGCGCAGTCCACATAGTTTCCGTGCACATCACGGGAACTGAACTCAGGAAAATGTTGGATTAGAACTGGAAAAGGTCTGCATAGAAGGAAATAGTAAACAAAGCGTGTAATGTAGCGTAACGCAACAAACAACAACTAAATAAGACATACAATGACCTCTGCATAGTCACAATGCGATCAAACACTTCGGAACATCCACCTGATATTTGGCAAATGAAAATCACCGTGCAAATAAATGATGTGATAAAACTACGTAAGGCTGTGCATGAGATAATAGGAAGTGACTGATGCGGAAGCACTTCAACGGGGAGTAAATTGATGTCGAAGGTACGTCTACTCTACTCTGGTTAGGTGTAAATTTTTCGACTGGCCCCTACCAAAGAAACAGGCGCCAAAATTCATGTTCGCTCTTGTCCATACCCACCAACAGACTATCTGTTACATTTTGGCCAACTAGCGAAGAATGTACCTACCTCGTGTGTCAAATAACATGTTCGAATCCTATTATAAACGAGTAGTAGGGTCTTCCCGATTGATATAGACTAACCAAAGCAATTGCCCCAAGATACGAGGAAGATGGTTCGGAAGAGATGTAGAAATAAATTCAAGAAATCCCACAACTACCACGGATATATCAAGGTTGCTGCGTGTGATATGTTAATGAATTCTTGACACTGCCCACAAGATCCATTAGTTTCAAATGCCTACTCATTACATGAGGTGTTCGTGTCAAGACACCTCAATCGCGATTTTAAATATAATTCGATAAAAATCCCAAACAATTCCACTACATTCCGCTATCGGGATAAGATATTTTGAGATTTAACAGCTATAATTTTACGGCATATGTGCAACCTCTGGGACACTGTAACTGCATGTTGGTACACCCTCAAACTTGGATAAGAATATTTTCATATTCTTATTGCTAAATGTTTGTCTAGCTATTGAAATATCTTGAGCGTTACCCGTACTGCACACCAAGGAGAGCGCACAGTACCACTAATTATTTAAAAAGACGTGGCTCCAGAATAACGAGGAAAATGCGTTCACTGATGCATTCAATCATGAAGGTCAACCTTCACCGAAACGCCTATAACTCTATAGTTGTTCTATGCTCACTGATAGTCAACACAATCATGGATCTGAAAGAATCGAACCAGCCAGCTTCTGGAACGCTACCATTCAGCCACGAGTGGTCAGTCCGAAGTCCGAAGGGTCTCCTGTCCGCGAGTTCACCAATAAAAACAGGTTGCGTGACGTGAATGATGCTACCATTATTCACGTGAGTGCAACATAATCACGCTAGCGAACAACTACTCGTAGCTGAATGCGACGGTCTTCGAACTTCTTTCCGCAAGTTGCCGGATTCCAACCGCCCTGAAGATTCATGAAACTTCCACTGCTAACAATTTCCAGTGCAGCTGAAACAGTCACGCAACGCTTCCCAGTTTTTATAAATGGACTGACGTCACTTGCTGGACTGATTCAAGATGAGAAAATTCGAGGGCTCGTCACTGTACGGGAAAACACTAAAATGTTGGCAAAAAAAGTCGCTCATTTCGATTCATGATTGTGAGTAACCAGACAAAAACAGCGGAAATGATCGACAGAAAAATTCAGTCCAAAGGCTAACCCCGAAAAACGTAACAGTGCCTAATGGGTGCCGTATAAAGTGACGTTGCACACAGACATATGCAGTCCATTCTCATGAAAGGTGGGGTCCGAAGCGTACGAACCGAGCGGCACGAGAGCGAGGCGCTTGAAAAAACGGTAAAATACGGGGATAGAAAATCAACCGCAACCACTGAAATCTTTCAAAGTGAAGAAACCTAATGAAAGAACGGACTAAGATAGTTAAGTTCTGTATCCCATCCAGCATGATCGACAACATCACATCGGTGATGAATAACGATTCTTCACTGCCATGAAACCAGCATTTAGTCGAAGCCCTATTGTGGAGAAAAAATGAAAATGGGTAGAGATGGGACTTAGTGCTAGCCTACCACAATCATCCCGAGTTGCTTACACCTCGAGACATTCATTCAGGCAATCTGGATGGAAAGTGACAACAACATTGCCATATCAGCCATATCTTGAAGCGTCTCCAACCAAGCACAAAGAAGACAACGGAAACTCCGTCCTAGAACGCGAGTCGCACTGACAGTACCGAGACTTTTCGAAATCTCCTTTATACCATTCTTCCAGGTCAAAGGTTGAACAACTCTCTGTCTGCACTATTATGACCTGGACACACTACGATCGAAACTTCCACAACTTCGAGTACCACCCACCCAAGAACTTTGCCAAAGTCGGTAAACAGGATTTATTTCCCATTTTCACTGCATACTGATATTTTTATGGTGTTTGGACACCGAAGTACCCTACATTCCAAGTGCTAAGAATGATGTTAGTGGGAAATTCACTCACTTTGGATTCAGCCGACTCCGATAGCTAAATGAATCAATAACGGCGTTGGCCAATTCTGGTGTGTTGAGCCGCCAAATCTTTATACAGTGGTCCATACCGGCTGTGAGAAGTAGGTCGCCGGTCAGCGACAAGTCACCATGAAGTATCTCAGCGCGGTGACCTTCGACGCCACCAAAAATACCCACCAACACGTGGCTGGCGATGTTCCAAAGCCGGACCGTGTAATCTGAAAGGGACGCACAGGCGAGACAGGTGAGAAAACATGAAGTTGTATATGGCAGTTGGCCGAACACAGTGGGATATAAATTCCAGATAATCAACGTCTTCTGTATGATAGAAACAGTGCCAGTCGTAAAGCATTTGCACCCGCCTGTGTCCGTCATTGAATTTCCATTTGGAATAACTGTGGCTTCGTTTTCCGAAAAAGTGATTTTTAAAGAAATCTCTCAATGCATTTACGAGCATACCCATGTGTCATGAAACTTAAGTTCACTCGGGGCGATTGAATACAAGCCCGAAGGCATAAGAAACTGTCTTTTGTCCCTCGAAGGAGCAGTCTGACAGGGTGCTCGCGCACTATAGAAAAGTCGCAACGAATCTTCCCAACCGAACCTGACTGACAAGCACAGGTGAGAGAATAACTACAGTTAAAAGGAAAACTTAGGCTAACTGTCCATGGGATACGAAGCTCAAACTGAAAGCCCCTGAATAACAGAAGAGGTCCAGCAGTGTTGCAATTTTTACCGATCATTGCGATTTAAACTGTGACTCATCAGCTCATCTATAGTATCTCTTTCCAAAGACAGGGTCGCATAAATCGGCTCAATGTCCGTCATTGATGCATCAGCTTGTCATTCTCGGATGCTTCAATTTACTCCACGAAACGTTCTCAGATGGCCTTTAGATAGATTACACCACATACCTTAATCATGTTGTTGGCCATGATGACTGATGTGCATGTTTTGTTGCCCTAGTCGTTAGATAGCAGATTGGGTTTGCTTTTCCTATGATATTAAGCTGTGTAAATGGTCGCTGGCTTGTTCGCTGAGCTGTGTAATTTGGTTGCAAACGTTTCACCACCAATCGAGGTGACATCATCAGTGGGTTATTAAGGAGCGAAGTTGTGCGTAGCAGTGAGTTAGTGGTTGTGTTGTGTAAATGCATGTACTACATTCATTTTACGAGCCTTGGGACTGGACCGCTTGCCCGCTTAACTAGCTTCGCATCCAAAACGGTAACACGCTCCAAGTCTCCTACATTATAGTGAAGAACGCCACGGTGTGTCACGTCAAATAGGGCCAACAGACGCTGATCATTTCTGCCATTGCGGATAACAAATATTTCCTGCCTACCGCTGGTATGGACTTAGTAGTCGGTTGTTGATACCTACGTGGTTATTTCTAACTAAGATAAGCCTGCCAAGAGTGGCTTCGGAGGCACATGCCCAATTTGAAGCCTAGGTTCACAGAAGACAGATGGCAAGGAATGATGGATATGGAGTGAACATACAACCTCATTCATCCTCTCGTTAAGTTTTATATGCACGCCGAAAGCTCAAAACAAGTCAAAATTACCTTTGCTGAATGAAAACAACAGGGCCGGATCTCGTGGATGGAAACGTAATTCGTTGATTGCGGCACCATGCCCAACCAGACTTGTTGGACAGCTGGCTAGGCTTGGGCACAGGATCCGGATTACACCTCTCTTGCCCGCAGCAGCCACCAACTGCTGATGTGGTGGGAGGAGGGATGCCGTGGAATAGGTCAGCGGGGCTTGGTGCTGGTGTGGGACGGGTCGGGGCAAGCGGCTTTCGGAACAATCAGTCCACCAACTTGAAGCCACATTTCCACTTGTATCTCGAGACCAAGCACAACAGTAGAATTCTTCGTCATCTCCCGCAGGATCGGTGAATGACTGAAGTAGAAGAACTGGTGGTCCATCGGAGTTGGATGCCTCATTGGAGGTTGGCTTTAAAATGCACTGATAAATAGTGACCTAGGATGGGAAAAAAGAGTCAAGCCGTTATTCCTCAGCGAAACGCTTCAAATATCGGACAAGTTCAGTATGAAAACCACCGGATGGGGTTCTGACAAACCAAAATATGTCCATTAGCATACTTTCAGCGAAGTATGAAGGCCGTTACCAACAAACTCAGCTGGGTCATTGCCGTCAAGTCGTTATTCCTCAGCGAAACGCTTCAAATATCGGACAAGTTCAGTATGAAAACCACCGGATGGGGTTCTGACAAACCAAAATATGTCCATTAGCATACTTTCAGCGAAGTATGAAGGCCGTTACCAACAAACTCAGCTGTTCTGGTCATTGCCGTCTCCATGGATGGGAAACGCGGGATGGGATACATCAACGGTTAGAGACATCGTAAGTCAAGGGACCAGTGGCGTCCTCAATGGCGCTCGCTCACCAAGTTACTGTCTTCAATGCATAGCTCCCCCAATCTCCCCAATTAAAAATCCACTGCCAACGTTATATTTACGCAATAATTATACCGGCTACCGCCCCCAGTGGGCAGCTATAACCACTGTACAAGTACGAGGTTGTTGTAGTTGACGATGATGGGGACAGGCGCTTCCGTTTAGTGACAAGTTCGGTCCAGTTCAGTAAGTCATCTGTAAGCCATGTCAAAATCACTTCGAAATCATTCAGCTGTAACACCCTCTCGGTGCGTAGCTGCCGTGCCACCAGAAGGAAGCACGAGGGCTGAGATACCACCAGGTTACCCAAGCCTAGACAGGAAAAGTAGAAGTAGAGGTAGAGTTCAAAACATGGGCCTCCAGGTCAGTAAATTCGCGCACTAACCGAACCATCTAGCTCCCAGTAAGCTAGGTAACAAAGGTACGTTCATCCAGGCTGATTCGGTTTTGTTCACCAAAAATGGGAGACTGTAGAGGAAACAGTCGGGTGTAAAGAGCTTTGATGCATGACTGAGCCATCGCTTTTAGTGTCATTAACCATAGGGAAAACTAGCCCCAGGGTCCTCATCCAAGAAGGTAGCAGTTGATAACGCAACTGAGTCTACCGGTAGGTGCCACGCTTCGCTGCCAGGTCACGTATTGTCCACCTCCAGGTCATTTCCATTTGGTAGAGCTTGGCGAGGCAGACAGTCCTCTGATGTAAGAAGTAGTTGTCCAAACCAGTATAACCGATGAGGTGTGATTGGGGGTGGGCCACATTTTCCTACAGCCAGTGGATGCACTTCAGTAGCACTGATCTAATGTTCCAAGTCGATCAAAACACTGCTTTGGAGACGCCGATGGCCAAACACCTTAACTTTTCGTAGACCTGCGATTATAGGTCACACATTTGATCTATCAGGCTTTTGACGAACGAACGGGCATAAAACAGGCGCCAGATTTTCCAAAAGCCGGCATAGCCGGATTCTAGAGATGATCTCATGTTCAACCAGTCCACCCAGCACCCAAACAACTGCCACACCGACAAACTGGTCTTTTACATGAGGTCTATGGTTGATTAGTTTATAAGTTCCAGGCGTGCAGTCATGTGGCAGAAATGGTTAGATCATTAGGAATGTTTTGTAGCCCTTAGGGATCTGGATTAAGGACAGCAATATTCACTAGAAAATGCCCCGAGAGTGTTCCGACCCTTGAGGTACTGGGGTCAAGCGAAGGAGTTCCAAACAACTGATCAAAACGAAGTTGAAGAGCAAACGTGAGAAGGCTCAGCGTTTTCTCACTTCAATGGACGTGGTAAACTCGGGTGAAGATTTTCATAAAGGAAACTAATCACAATTTTGCTGGAAACTCTTCAACAACCCAAGACCGGTTTCGCCCTTCTTGGGGCTCATCAGGTAGGCACAGTCCCCGAGTTTCCGTTAAAGTGTCGAACAATTTTCGAAACCTTGTGAGTGGTTTCTTTTAGGGAAATACACTGCGATATCTCGAATATTGTGCCAGCTGAAACAAGAAGCGGCCTGTGTGCAGCACATTCAGTTGAAGAACATCATAAACGAGAGAATCATTTGAGTCTCCCATGAAAGCCAACTAGATTTGCAAATGAGTGTATTTGTCGGGTGAAGTTTATCCTTAGACCAGCGCGCGCCATTAGGAGTTGGCAGATACCACTTTTCAATCATTGGTGCTCAACAAAACTACACAGCTTAGGGCACATTTTGTTTGGCGCGAAATTGTTCGGCGGTTAGAGCGCGAATCTACTGACCGGAAGGTCCGTGGTTCGAATCCGACGTCTGCCACTTGGCTTCCGTTGTCTAGGCTTGGGCAACCTGGTGCTTCTTTCAGGTAGCATGGCAGCTAGGCACCGAAAGGGTGTTGCAGCTGAGTATGCATCGAACCCATACATAAAGACTGGCTATGATGTATGGTCATGTCCCAAAAATGCAGCGAACCGTTAATGAAGACTATTGCCTAGCTCCAAACCAGACAGGCAACAGCTGCCAACCTGCTTCAGTGATGTTTTTCACAGCTCGAGATAAGTTTAAGGGCTTGGCACCGCGCCATAGTTTCTACGTGGTGGGAGCTTCGTAAATAAAACCAGGTACGAAAATTAATCTGATGAGCCTAGCCACCGATCAGCCGGTGTAAATCTGTCCCGTGCCAAGCACAAGCTAAAATCTATTCCATGACTGCCTGACATACCGCTCCATCGCTCATTCGATCGGCAAGCAAACCGGTGCATGCTATTGGAAACCAAAAGAATCCGTAGATTTACTTATGGGAAGAGGTTTCCGAGCCTTGGAAGAGAAACGATAGAACACTGACATTATAAGCAGTGTCCTTGAATCGCAACTCATCACTCGTCGACACCAAAGCCAACAAAACACTGGGAACAAGGGGGGAAAACTTAGCGATTGTGTAGGATGCCTCATCCAGAGCTCACATGCTGGAGAAAACTACATTTTCAAAATAGTTTAACTTGTCGACATCCTCAAGTAGATCAACTCTGACTCCACATATGCAGACTTAGCTTCAAATCACCAAACCTAAGCCGCGGCAATCCGACTTAACTCCCTGCAAGAGATGGTTATCGTCGCTTAAGCTAGTAAGTAGGGGAGGTTTGGTAGGATAGGACAAAGCAAAAGTAAAGTAATCAGCCAGTCAGTTGCAGGCGATAAGGTGCCAGAGTATTCCCAAAATTGTCTCTGTGTGCCTAAAGGATTGCGAAACTAATAACTCAACATGCGTCCCAAGTGATCAAATCAAAACAACTGGAAAAAGAGAAACCATTTCTTATGTTCATAAAACATCGCACGGATTGAATAAAACAACGTGCAAAGATGAACCGATGAGTAGATCTAGTCAATCAAATGCTTAGTGGAAGCGCTTATCAATTACATGAGGTGAGAGTGACAACCGATTAACTAATCAATAGACGAAGGGATTGTCTGCGGTAGAAAGTACACGCATCAGAACAATAACAAACCCGCTAAACCAATAGTTGGGGCTTATTTGCTGCTGATACTGGTTTCCTAAACTAGTGCCGTTCCATTAAGCAAGATTCGAAATTCGACTAGTACTAGCCCGGGAAATAACATGTAAGGGGACAAAGTGGTTTACAGATCCAGAGCATTGTAAACTTACGAAATTTCCAGCAACTGTAGCGAACAGCAGTGGATCAGATGTACGAGTTCGATTTATCGAATTGAATGCAACTCCGAAAACGGAACGACCATGAGATTCACGAATAGTGCATGTATGTTTATACGGGAAATTGGGAATGGGAGCAGTATCCAGCACATTCTCCGTCAACACCTTTGTGGGAGAACAAGGAAGTGTTTGGACCGATTCTTTCCGGATAACAGGACTCGTTAGATTAGCAGCAGTTGCGGGAGATTGTCGCCTCGCACGTCTATTTGTCGAAGGAGGGCAGCCGTTGAGTTGTTGAGAGGATGCAAAGCGCGGCGAGGTGTAAGATCCGTCTACAGGAGGCTCGTTGGGACTTCGGAACGAGCTACAACCGGTACAGCAGAGGTACAAAAACTCAGCCTATTAAATACGTTTACGTATTTCGTGAAACATACAGAGGATGGTGGGGTTCCTGATAAAATAAGCGATCGCTGTTCGAGATCGCCGTGCAACTGTAATAGACGTCAGCATAGTCTCGGATGGGCGTGGAGTGACTGTGTGGAATGAGAAGAAGCAGAAGTATGGTGCTGATGAATATTC